ACTCATTTAATGAAAATAGACTAACTTTAAACATTTATATACTCTAGTAAAATAACCGATTATAAAATATGTGAGTAATTGGTAAATTAAAAAAAAGTGAAAATTTATTCAATGATATTCCTGTGGTTGAGTCTTCTCTGAGAGTTTTTCTTTTTTATATTCAGCTCCATCAATGTCAATGATAGTCGAAGATCACACCTTTTCACAATATCAATTCTATTACTATCGTACTTAATTTATATTAATATATTTTTTATTCTATTTTATTTTATCAATATTTAAAAATTAATTTAGATTTAAAATATTAAATTAATTTATATTATAAATTATAATCTTTATATAATTTTCTTTTTTCAGGTTTTATTCTACTTTTACAATCAAAATATCCGGTATAGTAAAAGGGACGCTAAATTAAATTATTTGATCTCGTTCTCTGCTAGTTTTACAGTTGTTTTTCTATTTTTAGTATTTTAATATGGCGTAGATTACTGTCGAAATTTCAATTCTCAGTTGTAACAACCGTTCCCAAGTTAAATTGCTCTATGGACCACTAAAATATTACCAGTTTAAATCACTAATCAAACAATGCATTCTTTTAATTATTCAAATATATATTAAACAGATTTTAGTCTGCTGTCCGTGTCAAAGATACGTTACATAAAAGCTTCATCGATGCTGTCACCTTTGAGGTTGTCATTCACACGGCCATCTTGTTCCGGTCCGTTCTAATGCAGCGATTCTCAATCTATTTTTCTCCACTTTTACCTTCAATTTTTTTGATGAACTCCCATAACCATTCGATCAAAAAAGAATCTTTTTTTTTTTTACTAATAGATAAGTTTAGGAATTTTATTATAGAAATGATAAATGTATATACTTTATTTTGAAGTAAAACTAATTTAATGAAAATAAACTTGTTTTTAACCACTAAATTTTATGCAACATTGATTTACACTAGTAAAATAACTCCTAATAAACAATTATAAATTATTATTAATATATTAAATTATTTATATAAATAATTATAATCTTTATATAATTTTCCTTCATATATATATATATATATATATATATATATATATATATATATATATATATATATATAATCCTTCCTTTATATATTCTTCTCAGTTTTTATTCAACTTTTACAATCAAAATATCCGGTAGAGTAAAGGGACGCTAAATTACATTATTTGATTTCGTTTTCTGCTAGTTTTACAGTTGTTTTTCTATTTTTAGTATTTTTAATATGGCGAAGATTACTGTAGAAATTCCAATTCTTAGTTGTAACAACCGTTCCCAAGTTAAATTGCTCTATGGACCACTAAAATATTACCATTAATTTGCTGTTTTTTGTGTAGTTACATGGACCTACCAGGATCCATATGGATGCCAGTTGAGAACCACTGATGTAGATGTTATTATAGACACCACGTTTCTACCAAGTACCTGAGGGTTCTCTTCATGTGTCCATTGATTGTCAGATATATGAGATCTGTGGATTATTGGAGTATACGAATTCAGCATCAACGAAAAATAACTAATATCACAGGAACAAAAATATCACAATAATCAAGAGATATCCCAGATCAGCCAATCAATGGACCCCTGATGATGACCGGAGGGTACTTGGTCGAAACGTTGTATCAATAATAACATCTATATCAACGAAAATGAGAAAAATAGTTGGAAATAATACAAGAATATTGAAGAAACATTTCACATAGAATTTACGGTTACGTCTAGTAATTTCAACTGTAAAATGATGTCCTGAAACTCCCCACCCCTGACGCTTCAAAATAGCAATTGTAAAGAATACAGGAACATATTCGAACACATTTCAATGACTTTCAAAACCTTGACAATAAACAAACGGCAAACTCAGTCTATGAAAACATTATCAGATCACACAGTGAACCTTCGAAATAAACAGTACCACTTGAAGAAAAATATAGAATTTGGAGTCTTTGGAGGAAGGCGAAAATAACAAAGAAACGGAAAATACAAAAGGAATGTTTTTTTTTTTATCGAAATGGGAAACAGAATACCAAAACTGAAATGCAGTCGCCCGAACGCTCCTTTGTGGCCGAGACGGTAATTTGTTTTACATTTGATACGCCAGAGCAGTTATGAATGTACGAGATTCATGGAAGATTGAAGTTTATAAGCAGTAAATTCGACCTTGTCTACCGAACGCTCCTTTGTGGCCGAGACGGTAAGGCACGTCAGCGTAAATGACGGTTCCGTATAGGATGCAGGTTCGAATCCTGTCAAAGGACGAATATTTCCTACGAAAATGTCTCGGACATTCAGGCCGGTAAATGTTATTTAATACTGTTTATTATAAACAGGGCATTTACTTAAATACTTGTATCTATAAAAAAGAACGTTAAACATAAAAATTCATAATAAATGACATTTCTAGAAGGGAGAAAAACAATCCAAGACAACTCAAGACCAAGAACCAGGAACAACGCACCAAACTAAAGAAATACTATTTTTAACCCAACAGGTCAAACAGACAATATAGATGACAGGATAGCGTTGAAAGCATTTGACAAACTGTCAATAAGAACGGATGACATCACCGTTAACCAATAGGAAAGATGATATCGAATCAATTGCTAGATCTGGTGCTGGGAAAGTTGGTTCCCTGTGACAATATTTCTCTTCAGAATCTAACCTACATATTTCGAATCATGGACGAATGGTACGTCCATGATTCGAAATTGCTAGATGTAACCGTATGTTTTATGCTAACAGTTTCTTTTCTTGCACTTCTCGCTTGTGGAACTCTTTTCCGTCTTCTTGCTTTCCAGAAATATTTTAATGGGAATTGTTCTGATAAGGATCCCTCTTTACTGCCTGGACTTTACAAAGTTCAGCGCAATGTATAGATTAGCAGTCAGATCAGATCATTTTACAACTGAAATGACTAGAGATAACCGCAAGTTCTATGCCGACAGTTTCTTCTGTCGCACTTCACGCTTGTCGAACTCTCTTCCGGCTTCTTGCTTCCCAGTCAACTTTGATCTTCAAAAATTTAAATGCAATGTCAATCGTTATCTTTTGGTGCATTAATTCTTGATTCTCTTATTGTTATCTCCCCTTAAGAGTATTTATCCTGATACACTCTAACCTCTAGTGTCTTAGTGGCTTTATTGCCTTGCTTGGGGCAAAATGATAAAAAATGACCCGGGTTCCCCAAAAATTTTTGTATCATCGCCCATTTTCATAAAGATAGGGGTTAGGGCCTCATAGATATGGCATAAGAGGATAGCAGGTGAGGCGTAATGATTGAAAAACAATCAAAGATTTAGAAATAGTTTCAAAAATTCATATGCCAAAAATAAATACGATATCAAAATTTTAAGTTTTATTATGGATTACTTGTAATTACATGCGCAAGTTCTAGTGTAAATAGTTATAAATAAATATTGACTGGTTTTATCAATGTGATATTTTTACAATGTAATAAGACTATAGCAACTAGTGTCCACAAATTGGAGGAGAGAGTTATCAATAATAATGTTATGTCTTCGAATACGCAGTCATCTCCCTTTAACAATCTTTGTTTTTTTTTTTTTATTTTTAAATGTATTTTTGTCACATAAAATTTTCAAATTGAGAAAATGCGGTCCAGAGACAAACTTTTGGAACCACTGAGTTTGGCGAACATTATTTTTTCTTTAATTTTTCCTTTCTGGTTTTAAGTTCTTCTCCGACATTCATTCGGTGTAGACGATTAAACAGAAACAAAGCAACGTTAAAGGTAATCTCAGAGCTAATCTTTTAATCTTAATCTATTAATCTATTACGGTTAATCTCTATCTATAAAAGGCAGGATGCGTGTGTGTGTGTGTAACGAATGCACGGCCGCAATTTTCGACGGATTTGCACCAAAATTAACATGCACATGCTTCAAGCTAGCGGAGAAGGCCAATACCGATTTGCATTTCCCAACTCCCATCGATAGTGGAAATAATCGATTTTTTTCAGGCTTCTACGGTAGTTTTCATGTAGTTTGCGGCCATTTTCTACTGGCCAGAGTGAGAGCCTACCACGAATAAGGAGGAAGATTCTATTGGCCAGCGTGAGAGCCAACAGCTGACTGACATGAATGTTAACTAGCATGCTAGCATGCAAAAAAAAAAAAAATCGATAGCTGCATTCGTCACAAGTGGGAAAAATTTAAATCTGCATGGCACTTTACTCCAATTGGCTCATTCGCTTGCTTAAACTCAACGTTGATTCTGATTCCGCAGAACTGGGTTCGGTGTGAAAAAGTATTTGTTATTAACATTATTTTTTCATTCGGTTTTGCAAGTTACGAGTCCTTTTTTTTAAAGCTGATTGTTTTGTGTTCATTTTGTTTAGTTCTTTTTTTCGTAACAGATTTAATGTTTTAAATCAAGTGATAGCGATTGCTGTATGAGTCGTACGATTTTTGAATCAAGCACGGGCAACGCCGGGCCGTGCTGCTAGTCTATTATTATTATTAAAATATTAATCTTCAATGTGCTTGATAAAGAGGAAGGATGTACTTTTTGGATATAGATTAAGAAAAGGCGAGGCCTATTTTTTGGTCGAGCTTTATATACTGTTGTGAATTCATTGACATAATCGTAAATTCTGAGGTAGCTTTATTGGAATTTATTCTGTAGAAATGCCGAAATGATATGGATTGTATCGGTTGACACAGGAAAAGAAAGAAAAATATGTTATGATAAAAGATAAGAAAATTTCTTTGCGTCTTTTAGCACGATATTTCGCTGAAGAGAATGACACTGGTGAAATGATCAAAAAAAAAACGGAAATGATGAACTGGGATTATAGAAAGGCAAAATAAATGTGTGAATAAATGATGATGATTATGATTATGATGATGATGATTAATGTCTTTAATTATGACTTAAACAGTCATCAAAGTACATATGAACAGGCATAGGTAGGTAGATATGAAAAGAACGAGATAGATAAATACATGGATAAGAACAGACTTAGATAGATAGATAGATAGATAGATAGATAGATAGATAGATAGTAAACATACTGAGATAGATAGATAGATAGATAGATAGATAGATAGGAACAGTTTCAGATAGATAGAAAGATAATGAACAGAGATAGGAACAGATTGAAGATAGATAAATAGATAAGAACAGATTCAGAAAGATAGACATATATATATATATATATAGATAGATAGATAGATAGATAGATAGAGAGAGAGAGAGAGAGAGAGAAACGTGTGAGATAGATAGGAAGAGGCTGAAGATCTATCTTTAGCCTCTTCCTAGTGTAAGATAGATAGATAGATACATAGATAGATAGATAGATAGGAACAGTTTCAGATAGATAGATAGATAGATAGATAGATAGATAGATAGATAGATAGATAGATAGATAGGAACAGTTTCAGATAGATAGAAAGATAATGAACAGAGATAGGAACAGATTGAAGATAGACAAATAGATAGATAGAAAGATAGATAGAGAGAGAGAGAGGAAAAGTGTGAGATAGGAAGAGGCTGAAGATAGATACATAGGAAAAATGTAAGATAGATAGATAGATAGATAGATAGATAGATAGATAGATAGATCGGAAACATTTGAGATGCATAGAGAGATAAATGGATAGATAACAAATGAACACAATGAGAGATAGATAGATACATACACACATATAGAGTGCAATGGATAAATTGTCGTCTAAATGACGCAAAAAGGAAAATGACACTGATATTTCATTTTAACAGATATATTTACCAAAATTACAAAAAATATCTTGAAATACCGAAGATTAAATTTATTCCATAAAATCGCCATTGACTTCAACCACAGCTTCCAGACGACTTCGGAACCTACTGTGACTCGTCTGGACGACCTCCTTGTCTTCAGTTCATTTTTGTTGTCACAAGGAATTTTATTGGTTTCTCGCTCAACTGTGCCCCACACATAATAATCAAGAGGGTTGTACTCTGGGGAGTTAGGTGGGCAGATGTAAGGGGGTGAGGTGGCCGCAGAAATTGTCTGACAGCCATGACTGAGTTCTCCTGCTTGTGTGTCATGATACAGATTTCTGTTGCCAAGGTACTTAATGTAGGCCCCTGTGTTGAGTCTGACGCCCTCGCCAACAAATTCGGGCGTTCATTTCTTATCAGAATGGTCAGAGTGAGTTTTCTGGGCTGCCGTACCTTCGTAATCACCATTAGACTCATCCAACTCTTTCCGAATCCTCTGCACTGTCATAAGACTGGCATCCAAACAGTCGGAAATGTATGTATTGGAGCTTCCGGTGCGAATGCCAAGCATGTCGTTGTCAAATTTCTGGCGGTGTGAATTGCATCATGGCGGTCTTTTTCTAACAGACGGGGACCAACTATACTGTGCCGTCGTCAAAATCAAAAACAAAAAACGCGCATGCGCGAAATGAAAAATATAAACGGACGACAATTTACCCATCGCAACGTTTGGTAGGTTTTCAAATTAAATTTAATAATTTCAAATATCTATATAATATATTCATATAATTCTTACTATTAAAAATAGAAATAAAAAATTACGATAAAAATCTTTATAAATGCTTGCGTTATAAAAATGCAGTGTATATATTTTTTACTGTAGAAAAGCATGGTAAATTTTTTATGATAGATATTTTATCTCATACGCGTTGTAAATGCTTGCCTTATAGATTTGAAATGAAAATGATTTTTAGAGTAGAAACATTTAATTTTAGAGTAGGTATAGAAAAAGCATTGTAAATGATTGACTGTTTCGTTTTTACGGGATATCAACCCTTTGCAGGCTATTTCAAGTCAGAAAATATTTTTAGATTGCAAGATCCTTTTTGAGATAATAATAATAATTTAATGATACACGTCTTACTAATTAACCTATATCTGGGGAGAAAAGAAGTTGATTCACACTTTTACCAAGGGTATTTGCGCATAAATGAATATAACGAACCCGTCTTGGAATTAGAACTCGGTTCTCCGATTAACAATTCCGAGCCATTATCCATTACACCATTCACACATCTAAGCTTACAGTACCTGGTATTCTGAGGCGAGCAGGTTGTTTAACTTCGGTGATCGGAGGGGAACCTATGTTTCAACGTGATATGGCCGTAAGCCGTATTTTAAAAATGCATGATATATAATTTTACTGTAGATAAAAGTCATTTCTGTTAAAGATATGGTGACTTTCTAAGCGTAGCTTAGATGTGGCACAAGGCCAAAAGTATGGAGCACCCGGTGACGATCGAACTTACTACTCAGTCATAATTGGTCTAGCGAGACAATCATGCTAACCATTACACGAATTCGAAGTGCTCATATGATTCTCTCAGCGTAGCTTAAGTGTGGCACAAGGCCGAAAGTATGGAGCACCTGGTGGCGATCGAAAACATCGTAAATGATCGCACGTTAGTAATACAATCTAGATACCTTTACTGTAGAAAAGCATTTTAAATACCGTATTTGACGACATATAAGGCGCACTGTTTTTTACTAAAAATATATATATGAAGAAAAATATACAGAAAAAAACAAACAAAAATCTTAATATGCAATTATGCTGTATTAATGTTAATATAAAGTCGACGTCGGACGTTTCGGTCTATTTTAGACCATCTTCAGGACATTTTCATTTAAACATAATTAACATTAAAACATATAAAAATTTAACATGAAAAGACGATGGACATAAGAGCACAACTAATCCAAACAGATAACTGAAATTTTTATATAAGATCAGCGTTCCGTTTAATACAGCATAATTGCATATTAAGATTTTTGTTTGTTTTTTCTGTATATTTTTCTTCATACTGTCGGATCTATATCCATATATTTGATTATATATATATATATATATATATATATATATATATATAGGGTTGTCTATAATGATGGTACACAATTTAAATGCAATATCTTGGATTATAAAAATGACATAAAGTACGAAATATATTTATTGCATAAGTGATATACAAGAGTTCAACATATTCTTTAAGATTTGAATATTATATTCCAAAGATGGTCGCCAACATGAAGAGAGCATGCAAGGGCTCGCTCTCTCTCATTTCAAACACAGATGGCATTGCGTGTCTCAAGGAAGTTCATAACAGCAGAATCTCCTTTTGGGATGGTGCCTGTCGCTTTCGAAAATACCGTCGGAATTTGCTTTGGGCTGCCACGATGGATCTTTGGCTGCTGAAATATGCTTCCACTACGCATGCAATTTCTTTTGGGGTCTTCGACATTATGAGTGTCCACTGTCAACAAAAAGAGATATCAGGTACCCGTGGAAAATAGCAAAATCTTAGATATGTGGGACTCTTGTATATCAGTTATGTAATAAATATATTTGGTACTCTATGCCATTTCTATAATCGAAGATACAGGCATCTAAAATGTGCCCGATCATTATGAGACCCCCAGCCTGTATGTATGTGCATATATATATATATATATATATATATATATATATATATATATATATATATATATATATATATATGAATAATATGATTTTTTTTCTCGGCAATGCACTCAATGTTGTAAAATGCGTAATCTGAACAATAATGCATTTGATTATGAGTAAGAAACTCTTAAATCTATCGAAAGTAATGCAATAAAAAGCAAGCCTATTGCCATTTCGGATTCAGGGCAACATTGTGAACATTGCTTATGAATAGGGAAGCCGTGACTTTCCGTTTGATTTTCTACCCGGGGATTTTAGACGGGAAAATCAAAAGAATGAAGATATAAAAAAAAAAACGAATAATATTCTTACTCTTCTGTATGTCATTTTTTTTTTCAAATCTTCACCTCAAGCATCACAGAATTATTTGACTGAGATGAGCGAAATTGTAACGATTTAAGACGCTTTCTCGGAACTTCTCGTCCTATTTCCCGTTTTTTATCGATCTGTTACTCGTTTTATTTTGTCCTTTTTTTTTAAATTTTTTTATTGTCCTTTTTCTTACTTTCTTTTCTCAGCCTTTTTCCCGACCATTTTTGTCGCCTTTTTTTTTATCTCGTCTTTTATCTCGAACATTTTCTCGCCTTTTTCATCGCTTTTTTTTCTCGATCTTTTTCCAGTCTTTCTTCGGAAATCTTTTTTTTTTTTTCTCGATCTGTTTCCAGTCTTTCGTCCTTTTCTCGAATCGCTTTTTTTTTCTTGTCTGTTTTATCCCGCCATTTTTGTCGCCTTTTTTTTTTTTTTATCTCGTCTTTTATCTCAAACATTTTCTCGGTCTTTTCTCGTCGTTTTTATCGCATTTCTCGTCCTTTTTCTCGCCTTTTTTCTCGTCTTTGTTTTTTTGCTTCGTATATTTCCGTCAATGTTTCTTCTTCTAACTTTTATCATTTTTTTTCACATCTTTCCTCGTAGCATTTTCCCCCTTTTTATTAATTTATTTTTTCCATCGTATTTAATTTTTTTTTCTCTTATCCGTTCTGATCTTGTAATTTTGTTTTTGTCATCTTCATATTTTTCTCTGTTTTCGTTTTCTAGATATATTTCTCCTATACTTTTCTCCTCTTTCTTTCTCATGTTTCCTCATATTTTCATGATTTTTGTACTTGATTTTTCTTTTTATTTTCAGTCAATACTTTCTCACCTATTTCTGTCTCATCACGACTTCATTCTCGTTTCTTTTACTCGTTGTTTGATCTTCTAATCCTCATTTTTCTCATATATTTCTCGCCCTTATTCGTTTTTTTCCCAGTTTCTTCATTTTTTTTCTAATTTTCCTGTTTATTTCTGCTGACCTCATTTTTTGCCCGCCTTTTTCTCATCTATTTTCTTGTTTTTTTTTTCCTGACTTTTCTTTTTCTTTCCTTTTGCCGTCCTTTTCCGTCTTTTCTCCATCTTTTCCTAATCTTTTTCGCTTTTTATATGTTTCTATTCTCTTTCACTTTGACTAAATGCGTATACCAAACCTCTCTTTGTCCGCGCTGATACATTATCCGTTTCTTTACCTATATGGGTATAG